GGATTAGGGGATTAGCGGGCTCAGGTGAGCCCTCCGCACGCCATCGGCTCCTCCCGGAGCGGCTCCTCCCGGGAACACCCGGGGAAAGCTCCGACCGGGCACCACCGGGAGGGACCGGGCACCACGCAGGGTGGAGGATTCATCCTCTGCCTGGCTCTGGGTCACGTTTGGGGCTCAGATCCTGGTGCTGAAAAGCTTTGGGGTGTCCCTGTCCTTCCACACAGCCAGGAAAAGGAAAAACAAACATTGTGGGAGTGGGCAAAAAGGAGTTTTAGTCTGGGATAATGACTTGTCGGGAGCAGGGTTGGGATTTGGGATCCCTCTGCTTTGGGGGTCCCTCTGCTTTGGGGATCCCTCTGCTTTGGGGTTGCTCAGTTGGAGTTGGAGGTGGTGATGCCCCTCTAGGACCTAAGGAAAGGTCTGGATATGGATATTCCCACCCCTGGCTCCCATCACTGCCTCCGCACAGCCGATGGGAGCAGGGAGTGCGACACGGCTGTGACACAGCAGGCTTGGGGATGGAGTGGGAAAACCGTTGGGAAAGGGAGGATTTCTCCYCAAAACCGACAAAAATCCAGGGAAATCTTGTAGGGACATTTCCTCCTGCTGGTGGGAGATAAAATCCCGTGGGGGCTTGTGGGGCACAGAGGCTCCCCATGGGAGGAGGATTGTCTCCTTGGGATGGGAATGCCGAGTGTCACCTTAGGATGGGAATGCTCAATGCCCCATAGCATGGGAACACTGAATGTCCCCATGGAATGGGAATACCTAGTGTCCCCATGGAATGGGAACACCACGTCCTGGAATAGGAACACCTCGCCCCCCGGTGGCTGCAGCTCCCGACCGCGCCGCTCGCCTCGCGTTATTTGAGCATTCATCTTGCTCAAGCACCACTCCAGCGCCGCAGGACGGCCGATATCTCGCAGAAAACAATCAAGAGCCTTCCCCCCGCGTCCCTCACTTTCCCCCGGGGCTGGATTATCCCAAATAAGCACTCACTTTGGGTAATGGTTAACTTTAATGGCTCGGGCTGCAGCGGGAGGCTCGAGGGCTGATAGTCCGGGACAGAGGCGATAAGGGAGGGTTTGAAGGGCAGCGCTCGTGGCCGCTGTCACGGCCAGCACGGCCCGTTCCGGGCTGGGAACAGCCACGGGAACATTCTCTGTCGCCTGCCCCAAAATTCATCCTGCTGGGGCGCTCCTCTGTGTTATCTAGCGGGTGCTGGGAGCCAGGATTTGTCGCCCCAGCTTTGCCACGGYCAGCAGTGGCCKCGTGTGTGTCCGAACGCTGCGATCMTTTGTGAGCTCCGGAGATACTTGGAGAACCCGCCCGGCGGCTCTTTCTCCCATAATCGTGCTTTCCAGAGTCAATGGATAACTTGGGAGCCCGGGCCGTGGCCACATCAGCCCTGCGGAGGCAGCGATCTGCCGGGGGAGGGCCCGGGGCAGGGACAGCAAAGTTCACAGCCAAAGCCACCCTCAAAGTCACCGCCGGCCACGGGCAGAGGCCAGGCTGGAGGACAGCTCCAGGGTCCTTCCAGAGCCCAGGGAAGCTGGACTGGGCTTTGTCCCACACGTCCCACCTTGGGCACAGGCTGGCATTCCTCGGCTCAGGACCTGCCCGCTTCCCCCGTGGGATCAGCCCGGGGAGCAGAGGAGGGGCAGAGCCCCGCTGAGCCTCCCCCAGGCAGTTTCCCATCCCCACCTTCCTTCCAGGATGTGTTTTCCAGGTCCTGGACGTACTGTGGTGGCACCGGCATCACTTCCTTCTGAATTCCAAGGGAAAACCTGAGACGAGCCTCCCGTTGGACCCGTCACCTCCTGGCCGTGCCGTGTGACACTGTGGGGCCTCTTCCAGGGTCCCCCCAGGATTTTATCCCTCCCTCTGTCTCCCACTTCTCTCCCTGTCTTTGACTTTCCGGATCTTGACATTCCTGGAGTTGTAACAGTCCTTTACAGCCATTGCTTCACCACCGGCACAAACAACGGTGACAGTGACAGTGACAGTGACAGTGACAATGACAGTGACAGTGACAGTGACAGTGACAGTGACAGTGACAGTGACAGCATGGGGGACACTGCAGGCAGGGAGAGCCACGGGGTGAACAGTAGCACAAAAAGGTGAGGGGATGGAAAACAGGGATTGTGTCCCTCCTTTCCCTTCCCATGGCACTGGGACAGGGACTGCTCCAAGCTCACACAGGGCACGGATCCTTCCCTGCCTGGACACCCATTTTCCCAGTTAAAAAAAAAAGCTCTATTTCCCCTTTTCCCTAAGCCTGGAAAAGCAGGAGTTGAAGATAACAGGTTTTTGAGATCCTGCTCTGCTGGGAACCCAGTGAGGGATGAGCCTGAACTTTCACCTCACTCTGAGCCCTGTCCCAGATTTGCTGCTGCTCAGAGGGCATTCCAGGGACGAGCTGGCCCAAAGAGAGCTCAGCAGGGTCTGACATCTCTCCTGGTGAGGCCCTCTCCAGGGTTTTCCCCACTTTGCGAGGACACTTCAGGTTCCCAAGCCATCAGCCACCCTCTGCACCTCCCTGCCATCCCCATTATTCCCTGTCCCGGTGACCTCAGCAGGATCAGTCTGGTGGCAGAGCCAGAGCCCAACCTGGGGCACAGCGGTGTCCCCAAGGACAGGAGGGGGTCAGGGAATGTGCAGGAGCTCAGGAATGTGATCAATMTTCCCATGGGAATGGATGGAGCAAAGCTGAGCAGTGCCCTGGCTCCTTCCACACCGACACTGTGAGACCACACTGCAAAAAGGAGAGTTTCTATGAATATTTCCAGAGCAGGAGATGGYTTCAAACAAGGGCTGCTGTGTCACAGATCATGGAATTATGGAAAGGGTTGGGTTAGAAGGGACTTMAATCCATCCCATTCCAYCCCTGCCATGKCAGGGACACCTCCCACTGTCCCAGGCTGCTCCCAGCCCCAATGTCCAGCCTGGCCTTGGACACTGCCAGGGATCCAGGRGCAGCCACAGCTTCTCTGGGAAATCAATTCCAGCCCCTCACCACCCTCACTCACTGCGAAAAACTTCTTCCTTTGTTTGTGTTTAGGATCCCACAGAAATTCCTKCAATCTCCATGCTCTGCTTCATCTGCAGGCCCAGACACAGAGATGTGGCACTTGGKGACAGGAGTGGTGGCCTTGGCACTGCTGAAGGAACAGGCTCCATGATCTTGGAAAGCTTTCCCAACCCAAATCTGTGATTCTTTGTATCACAGCTCATCCCAGCATTGTGACCAAATTCGGGCAGAAGGAACTTGAACCAGTCATGAAAGAGGATTTTCCTCCCCAGAAGAAGGAAAGGAACACAAAACCTTTGGGAAGCTCCGGGGAATGGTTGGGTTTTACTTGATCCTGCAAATGTGGGGAGGAGCCACCCCCCAGGAGATGCTGGATCCTGCCAGGAACAGTTCCTGAAGAGCTGCTGGCTGAGCCTGGAGTGATCCGAGGAAAMAGGGACTTTGGGGTGATTTGGGTGGGTCTGTGCCAGAGGAATGACACCTCGTGGAGTTGTTTCCAWACTGACAAACCTGGGTGTGTCCCACAAAATCCACCCCCAAGGATTCAGGACATGGTGTCTGGTGTCTCCAGCCAGGCACCTCCTCCTGTCCCTGTCTCGTCCCTGTCACCCTCCTGGCTGTGCTCTAAATCCCTTCTGGATCTGTGGATGCCCCATTTCCCATCTCAGGACAAAGAATGGAAGAACCTAAAGGTGAGGGGATGGAAAACAAGGGGTTGTGTCCCTCCTTTCCCTTCCCATGGCACTGGGACAGGGACTGCTCCAAGCTCTCACTGTGCAYGGATCCTTCCCTGCCTGGACACCCATTTTCCCAATTAAAAAAACCTTTATTTCCTCTTTTTCCTAAGCTTGGAAAAGCAGGAGGTGAAGGCAAAAAAAAACCCCCTTGGACCAGGAAGGAGCAGAATCCAGAGCAGGTGTGCAGGCGATAAAATTTTATTACAAAACAGGAGATGGATCAATGTTTGTGGGAAGCTTGGGGGGGGACAGGGGTTCTGTAACAAACACAGCATCCCAGGAAAAGGAATTTCCCCCCTCCCCCATTTTCCAGGTCCCAGTTCCATTCCCATCATGTTCATCTTGGATAATGAAGGATCCCCTGGATGAACCCACAGAGTCACACAGCATTTTGGGCCTATTTACAGTGATTTTCTCCCAGTTATCCAACAGAGACAAGGCACCCACATTCCAGTGCCTGATCCTTGCAGAGCTTTTACAGAGTGTCCCAAGGGAGTGGAGATGGAGAGCCCTTCATTTGTCATGAGTTTCCATCAGCACTGCTGCCCATCTCCCCAGATTYCTCCCCAAAAATAGCTGCCCTCAGCCACCAATGCAAACCCAGAGCTGTCCACTCTGCCTACAGACAAATGAAGGAATAAAACCCRAGGATTTGCCACAGTTTTCGTTTTTAAAAACAAAACATCGTTGATTTGCATAGTGAACATTTGCATGTGAGCAGTTTGCATACAGAGCAGTGGGGAGGAGCTAAAATATTTCTGCCCCCCCCTCAAATTAAAAAAAAAAAATTACATATATTTATATATTTACACACASAGAGTCCAGGGGAGGACAAGCAGAGGCTGCAGGGGAAAAAAATCCCAAGATTAGCAGGAAAATTATGTCAAATCCCCCCTGKTTCTCAAGCTGCCTATTTTGGTGTTTTGGCTTTGTACTGGTTTCAGCAAACTGGTTTTGGGCTCCATCAGCATCACAAGATAGGGAGAGATGGAAATTAGGGATGGGAAGAGAAGGTCTCCTTCTCCAAAGTCAGAGGGGGATGAAGAGACCCCTCTGAGAGGGTCAGGGGTGGGGCTGATGGTGACACACATGGGGACCCTGTGCCTGTGSTTTGGCTCCTGCCCTGGGGAGGTTCAACCCCAAGAGATGCCCCAAAAAAACAACTTGGAGGGTGGAGGGTGGAATTTCAGCCCTGGGAGCTCCAGTGGGAGGTGGGGACACAGGGTGGCTCACCCACAGAGTCCAGCAGGTCCTGGCTCGGCCACGTTGGGTCCCCACCACCTCCTGGGCTCCCCTGGGGATGGCCCAGGCACCGTCTCCATGCTGGAATCCCTCTGGAGTGACTCTTCCTGCTGCCTCCTCTTGCTCTCCATGGGGTTTTCCATCCTCAAAGCCCTTCGAGATGCACCTTGGGCACAAATGGGAGGTGGAACTGGGGAGTTCCATCATTTTGGGAAGGGGGTCCTAAGGCTCAGCCTGGCMTTCAGGGCGAGCTCAGGTCACAGGAGGTGGCCTTGGCCAGGGCCTGCTCTGTGCCCCAGGCAGGATCCAGACCCCATAGCCAGCACAGCAGATGGAAAATGTCCCCTTCTCCCCAGCACGGGCCAATCACAATCCAACAGCAGAGTTGGGGAAAGGCTGTGGAGGACGTTCCCAGAGCTGAGTGAGAGCCACCCTCTCCAATCTTCCCTCGGGCTCGGTGCCAAGAGGCTGCCAGACCCCCTGCCCAAACTGTTCCCACTGTTGGGAAAACCACCCCGCAATCCCACAGCCCTTCACCCTTCCCTGGTGGCACAGGAAGCTCCTGGCCAAAGGAGTCACCCCAGAGCTGGACCTTGGTCCATCCCAAAGCCTACCATGGACCCCAAACCCTTCCTGCCCTCCTCTCCTGCCACACCAGACCAGTGGGATTGGCTCTGTTGATTCAAGGAAAAGAACAACAGCAGAGGCTTTGGCAGCAGCAGAGAGGAGAGAAGTGGCCTCCAAATTCCAGCCAGCTGACCACACCAAGGTCCAGTGGGGCCTTTCATCCCACACACCAACCCGTGCATCACCTAAATTCATCCCAGGAAAAATGAGAGAGGAGGAGGGTGTGGGAGAAATCAATGTTCTGTGGGACACAACCCACATTTGTTCCTGATTTATTTACAACCCGCACAGCTGCTCGTGGAACTGGCTCTGGCTGTACCCAAATTTAACCCCTGGAAGCCCTTGGAGAACAGGGCTGTGCATCCCACGGGATGGGGGGAAGGTGCTCAGGGAGCCCGAGGCGGTGAACCTGTGAGGTAGTCACGTGAACAGCAGGRTTTATTGGGGTTTGCTTCCAAGATGCTTTTTTCCCTTTTTTTTCTCCCATCTGATGGAATGGCAACAGTGCGGCCCCAGAGTGACCAGTTGCCACTGAGTCCTCGGAGTGGGAGGATTTTAGAGAAAGGCACCACCGGTGGATTCTGGGACACCAGACCTTCAGCAGTGACTGTTTGGCTGTCCCCTGGGTGGCTTCAAACCCAGGCTGGTGCTCCCAGAGACACCTGAAATCCAAATTCCTCTCGGAAGCAGAAATGCTAAGGACACAACCACAGGAACCTGGCCAAACAGGACAGGGGTTTGCAGAGTTGGCTGCCAGGAGCGGGCTCAGTGGGACACAGGTGACACTTCTGTCACCTGCTCTTGCGCTGTCCCTTGCTTGAAGGCACATCAGGTGAGTTTGTCACAGGTCTGTTCTATGCCCCCACAGAGACTGGGATTGTCAGCCCTGGGCACTGGGCACTGGGCACAGCCCCTGCTCCCACGTAGCACCGGTGCCACACCCATGGTCACACCATGGGACATGGTGTCACATCCATGGCCATGCCATGGGACAGGTGCCACACCCATGGTCACACCATGGGACATGGTGTCACATCCATGGCCATGCCATGGGACAGGGTGTCACATCCGTGGTCACACCATGGGAGAAAGTGCCACGTCCATGGTCACACCATGGGAGAAAGTGCCACGTCCATGGTCACATGGTGTCCCATCCATGGCCATGCCATGGGACAGGTGGCACACCCACACTCACACCATGGCACCGGGGCCACACTCATGGTTACACCAATGGACATGGTGTCCCATCTATGGTCACACCATGGGACAGGTGTCACACCCATGGTCACACCATGGCACCAGTGTCACATCCATGGCCATGCCATGGGACACAGTGTCACACAATGGCACACAGTGCCACATCCATGGTCACACCATGTGACACAGCGTTGCATCCATGGTCACACCATGGGACAAGGTGCCATGTCCAAGGTCTCACCACAGGACACGGTGCCACGTCCTYGGTCACATGGTGTCACATCCATGGCCATACCATGGCACAGTCCAAGAGGGTCCCAGCCAAGCTGTCCCATCCTCCTGGGCTCACCAAGGGGGTACAAACCATCCCCAAAGGTGTCGAGGCAGGAAGTCGCTCCTGAGTGATGAATAAACAGCAGGGCTGCTGGAAGAAAGCCCTCGGCAATCCAAGCTCTGCCGCCCTGGTGGCACCAGGAGCCTCGTCAGGGCATCGTCTGCAATCAGGATGTGTTTGAAATGGGTGGGGTRGGTTTCAATCTCCGGTCAAACCACACAGAGTCGGGGCAGGGCCGGCTTGGTCGATGGCGGCGTGGGGTCGTTCCTATGTACAGGCTCTTCCCTGGGACAAGGCAAGAGCTTGAGCTGCTCTCAGAGACGTGGGAAGGGAGGCGGCTCCTAATTCTGGTGCCTCTTCATGTGCAGGGCCAGGTGGTCRGAGCGGGAGAAGCAGCGGCCACAGGCCGGGCACTTGAAGGGCTTGGCCCCCGTGTGCTTGCGGTAGTGCCGGGTCAGCTCGTCCGAGCGGGCGAAGCGCCAGTCACAGCCTTCCCACGTGCACTTGTAGGGCTTCTCACCTGCTCGGGGACAGCCACAGGTCACACATGCCATGGGGACAGCCACAGGTCACACTTGTGTGCCATGGGGACAGCCACAGGTCACACGTGCGCCATGGGGACAGTCACAGGTCACACTTGTATGCCATGGGGACAGCCACAAGTCATGTGTGCGTCCAGCCTCCAATCCTCCTCCTGATCCTCTGGGAGATGCCCAACATTCCTGGGGGGCACAGAGGGCACCCGGGGCTGGTGGCTYCCCAGTGTCCCCAGCCCAGAGCCATAAACTGAGCTGCACCACCCAGGACTTGTTCCTCTTCACCTCCCTCCCACTCTGTCTCCCAGTGTTCTTCAAGTTCCTGTTGGATTTTGGAGCGTTTCTGGCTAAAACCAACTTTTGAATTAGGTTTTYTTCCTTTAATAAAAAGCCAAAAATTCCTAAGGAAGGTGTGAGCGGTGGGAGGCACTGGGAGGAAGACAGGGGTGAAAATCTAAAAAGCAATCCAAAAAATCTAAATTTTTTTGAAGCCACCATCCAATGCTGGTAGCTGCCCCATCCCTAAAAGTRCTCAGGGCCAGGYTGGATGGGATTTGGAGCAACCTGGGATAGTGGAAGGCATTCCTAAGGATCAGCCAGCCTTTGAAAACCCCTCCCAAGCCCAGCCATTCCGGGATTCCGTGACCTAACGCTCCATGCCAAGTTCCCCGCCAGCAGCTCTGTACACAAGGCATTGTGTTTCCCTCGGAGCTGATGTCATCCCTGTGCCCTGCCAAACACACCCATGGCCACCCCAACCCCATCCCACCGGGCACCTTCCCAGCCAGCCGGGCACTGGGAACCGGGTTGGAAACGCCCGCAGCGCTTCCAGCCAGGCCGTGGGGCTGACCCCTGGCTGCAGCCCTGCCCCGCACAGGGCGTGGCACTCTCAAATATTAGTCCTGCTCTTAACAGCCTGAACAAGCAGGCAGAGTTCAGGGAATGTGCTGACATTCCCGACCTCAAATATTTACCCTCTCCCGGGCCAACTGCCGGGCGCAGCGGCACGGCGGGAGCGCACGTCCGCACGCAGCACGCGTGCACGGGCATGTGTGTCCTGCCCGGGCGTGCTTCCAGGGATTCCTTCCTCCCCACGCTGMCAGGGAGTCTTCCTCATGCTGCCCAGGAAGCCAGGGAATCCTGGAATGCCTCGGTTTGGAAAGGACTGTAAAGCCTGTCTTGTTCTACCTTCCCTAGACCAGGTTCCACCAACTTCCATGGATTCCTAAACCAGCTTCCAGGAGCTCCACCAACTTGCATGGATTCCTACACCAGCTTCCAGGAGCTACACCAACTTCCATGGATTCCTACACCAGCTTCCAGGAGCTACACCAACTTCCATGGATTCCTTCCTCTCCATGCTGCCCAAGGAGCCCTTCCTCTCCCAGGCTGCTCCACGGAACCAGGGAATCCTGGAACAGCTCGGCTTGGAAGGGACCTTAAAGTCCTTCATGTTCCACTCTGCCCAGACCATGTTCCACCAAATTCCAGGGATTCATTCCTCTACACACTTCCCAGGAGCCCTTCCTCTCCCAGGCTGCTGAACAGAATCAGGGAATCCTGGAATGCCTCGGCTTGGAAGAGGTCCTAAAGTCCTTCATGTTCCACCCCAACCAGACCATGTTCCAGGAATTCTTACACCAACTTCCATCCTGCCCAGACCATGTTCCACCAAATTCCATGGATTCCTTTCTCCCCAGGCTTCCCAGGAGCCCTTCCTCCCCCAGGCTGCTCCATGGAGCCAGGGAATCCTGGAATGCCCTGGTTTGGAAAGAACTGTAAAGCCAGTCTTGTTCTACCCTCCCTAGACCAGGTTCCACCAACTTCCAGGAATTCCTACACCAACTTCTGGGAGCTACACCAACTTCCATGGATTCCTTCCTCTCCAGGCTGCCCAGGGAGCTCTTCYTCTCCCAGGCTGCTCCATGGAACCGGGAACCCTGGAATGCCTTGGTTTGAGAGGGACTTAAATTCCCATCTCCCCCAGACCAGATTCCACCAGAGTGGGTTCCACCTCCCACTAGACCCCATCCAACCTGGCCTTGAATAATTCCAGGACTGCGAAAGCCACATTTGGCCATGAAAGTGAAATCATCTGGCCACAATAAGATCTCCAGTGCCTTGCCCACCACGGGAAAAACACAAGAATGTGGATACATGAACCTGGAGGAGCCAGAGCAGCAAGGTCACATCCTGCTCCTCAAAAAACCTCTGGATGCTGCTCCATGGGGAGGAGGGAGTGGTATTTTTATGGCTCAGGTAAACACAGTGCTTGCAGAGGGTTTACAAGGAGTTGGTGGGGGTTTTATGGGACTTGGAACACGCCAAGGCAARGAGAGGATTTTCCCAAGGGCAAGATTTTCTCAAGGCAGGATTTTTCCAAAGGTGGCAGGATTTTCCCAAGGGCAGGATTTTCTCAAGAGCAGGATTTTCCCAAAGCAGGATTTTCCCAAAGGTGGCAGGATTTCCCCAAGGGCAGGATTTGTCCCTCACACCCCAGACATTGTCCCCTCCAGGTCASCTGGCTTTGGCTCCGAACAGTGGCAGCTTGATCTCCGGGATAGAATCCTGAGGTTTCCCATTGTCCCTGGTTTCCCATTGTCCCGGTTTCCCACTGTCCCGGTCTCCCATTGTCCCCGGAGCTGGCTCCCTGTCCCAGCACAGCACGGCAGGGCGGGCTCAAACAAAGGGCTGGGGTGGCATTCCCGGCCCGGGAGGCGGTGGAGCAGCCCCGGGGGGTTGTGTTTGATCTCACAATGGCACCCAGGAAATGAATGGTGGCTCCGGGAGAGGAAAACACCCGGCCCATGGCAACGGGAAACCGCGAGGAAACATCTCCCAGACCATGGAGACAGATTCCCTTTTCAGGCGGGGAATGGGAGAAGGGACATTTTTAACCCTTTGGGTGATAGGGCTGAGGCAGGATTTGGGATGAGTCCATRCTGTCACAGTTCTGGTGATGAGCTCAGCGAGGCTGAGCCTCCAAAGCAAAACATGAGAATTGAAAATAYGGGATGTAGGGATGCTTGGCTTGGATTGTAGGATGCCTGTGGGTTGGATTCCCTGCTTTTCCCTCATCCCACACCACCAGCAGTTCTCCTGGCTCCTCAGCTCCCATCCTTCCTCACCTCAGCTCCCATCCTTCCTCACCTCTCTGTCCTCCCCTCTCACAATAGGGGAAGGAAAAGGGGCAAAACCAGTTGGATTTCCAGCCTGATTACTGGGAAGCCTGGAAAAACCACTCAGTTTTGAAATCTACTGGATTCCAATCCCACCCAAATTTTCCTGGGTACATCTTTACATGTGCAGGGTAGGGAGGTGCCTAACCCATGGATTGTGACCTGGGCACAGAGCTAAACCCCAAACAGAAGGGAAAAGAGATATTTAATTGAATTTAAAGCCCTGATTGCAGACTGTGATAAATCCCTATCAGGACCCAGCTCTGGGACAACATCCTTCCTGTTCCTTCCTTCCACCCCTTCCGTKCTCTTTTCCAGCCCCCTCCTCCCCAGTCCTGGCCAAGGAAACACCGCAGCTCACGCACAAAGCAGAAATTCTTTGTTTGAAGGGCTGATAAGGGGAGAAGGGAACAGAGCCAAGAGCAGGAACCAATTCCCAGCCGCAGAGCGGGGTTCGGTCGTTGTTCATAAAAAAGAGAAGTGAACTCTGGGCCCAGCTTAATTGCTCTCAGCAAAGATCAGCCCTCCCATAAAAGAGATTTATGAGGGCACTGATGGTTCCTGGACTACCTGGGGATCTGATAAAGGTTCAGGGATAATAAATGCCTTAATGAGGGTGCCTGGGCTCCAACGCACGAGCGTCACGGAGCTGGGGTTGGCTGGGAGAGCTGGGAGCTGTGCTGGGGACCCTGTGCTGTGCTGGGGACCCTGTGCTGTGCTGGGGACACTGTGCTGTGCTGGG